GGGTGTGGACACTGTGTGGAGTAGTGGCCAAACTCCTCACAATTGAAACACTTTATGTGGCTCTTGTCGCGGCCACCACCGCTAGAGCCGCCACCGCTTCTCTGCGTCCCGCCGCGTCCGCGACCCCTACCACGACCACGCTCGGCCTGGCCGTGGTTCGCCCCCTCACCAGAGGGCTTGTTCTTCTGTGGCGACGAGGTTTCTCCCCCGCCTTTCTTGAAGCGTGCCTCCCACTCGCCCTGAGTGAGCAGAACTTGCCCGTCAGCGGTCACTCCGCCGGCGGTCGCCTTCTTCTTCCACATCCACTCTTCATACGCCTTGAGGCGACCTACCGCTTCTTCGAACGGCATGGTGTCAACATCGTAAAATTGCTCGATCCCTGCGACGAGGCTAACGAACTTCTCCGGGACAGTGTCGAACAGCTTCTTCACCATGGCGGCGTCGTTCAACCACTACAACAAAACAACCTAAAAGAAACATCTTATTTGTAAGATAGAGACGTTTTATTTCGTCTCCCACAGATAACTGAGACGCTTTTATAAAGCGTCGTAGGATCGTCTCTGTTTGCACCGTCTCAAAATTATGGAGACGCTTTTTAAAGCGTACCTATATTATTTAAGACGTTGCTAGAGACGTGTAAATTGCATCTCTACAATATATAGAGACGCTTTTATATAGGCACGCACATCTTAATATATTTGATATTAATGCTTTCATCTGGGCTCGAACACAGCACCTGCAGGTTACAAAGTTCATGCACTAACCAAGTCATTAACGTGACAATCTTGAAGGTAAATAGATAGTTTTTTTTATATTGCAACTCTGCAAACATGCGTCCTGTAGCAGTTCTCTTCTTTTTTAATCTAAGACTGAATATTAAATATTTATTTTTTTTGGTCCAAATAATTATAATATTATTATAATGGTATTTGATGATGACGATTAGGATCAGTGTGTTTATTTTCTTCTTTCTCTATATAAATAATTATATATTATCTAATAACGATGACACGGATATAATAAAAACGTCTCAAAACTCATTTCTACACATGAGATGTTCCAAAAACGTCTCAATATTCATCTCTAAACGATTTAATTTTGTGCTAACCTGTAAAGCGTCTTAAACTATGTCCTCAACTAATAAAGCGTCTCAAACATCGTCCCTATTTTAATTTCACTTATAAAAAAGAGACGACTTATAGAATGACTTAAGTGAAACGTCTTAAAACAATGGTTTTGTTGTAGTGAACGTCGTGCCGAGAGCAGAGTACCGGACCCCCATCGTGGTGATCCGGCCGGCGTACTGGTCCAGCGTCTCCCCGGCCTCCATCACCATGCTAGTGAACTCTCCCTTGAGTGTCTGCAGGCGTGCATCGCGCACCCGATCCACCCCGACGAATCTCGTCTTGAGGCAGTCCCAAACCTCCTTTGCCGAGCGTTTCTTTGCAACCTGCATCAAGAGATCCTCCGGCAGCGACTGGAGAAGATGAGACTTCGCCTTCTTGTCCTTCCTCGGGTCGACGGCCGCCCCGGCCGCCGGCTCGATTGCTTCCCATATGCCTTGATCCTCCATCATAGCCTGCACACGTATTACCCAACTAGTGTAGTTGGTTGACATGAGCTGTGGGTAAAGGAAAGCACTTCCTGAGCTCCCCATCGCCGGGTCCGCCGTCACCGGAACCAACGCCATAGTGCCAGATCCGCCATCAACCTGAGAAGCTCTGATACCACTTGTTAGCTGCTAATCACCTGATCCAACACTTTGTGCGCACACTGCACATGTCCGGCACGGCAACAGACAAAAAGACTGAAGAATACAGGAAGAAATTCAAAACAGAGAAGCAGAGTATTTCAGAGTTTCAGAGAATCACGAGAGAGAAGGAATTTGTGGGACAATTTTCTGGTTTCTTTCATTCAATTGAATAGAAAAACTTACAAATGGAAATTTTAGCTACTGCTACTTATACTCCAATAACAGAGAAAAAGGAATCCAAGCCTACAATCGCGCCATCCCACGATCCGGAACTCCTGGATCCAATGCCGTGCAAAACTCACGCCCACAACGCATGCCTGACGCAGTCGCCTACTCCTGCAGCTTGCCACATCTCTCGTGCATGCATAACAAACTCAAAATTGAATTATTCATCCAGCCGTTGCAACTGCCATTGCCTAGATCACCTTGGGGCCATAGCTGAAATAACAGTCAACACTGTAGACTAGATACTATTTTAGGTTTACAAATTTCCCGAATGAACACATGCCATTATACCGGCAATACGTTTATCAAGACAGATCAACATAGTCTTCTCACAAGCGCAAAGCGCATTCATCAAAATGCGATGCATTTAGGACAACTTTCTATATGTCTCCAACCTGGCCAGGCAAATGCACAGAACAAAGAAACCCACTCTGTTTTTCAAGCTTGACATCGCCAAGGCTTTTGACTCAGTATCCTGGGAATACATGCTCACTCTGCTTGAGAAGATGGGGTTTAGTGCAAAATGGCGAGACTGGGTGGCCCTAATCCTCTCGACCTCCTCTTCCAGAGTCTCCCTCAATGAAATTGAAGGGGAGAGGATAGACCACCATCGGGGGCTACGGCAGGGTGACCCCCTATCCCCATACCTATTCATCCTTGCCATGGACCCCCTCCACAGGCTTCTCAAAATCGCAACTGATCAATGGCCACCTCACTTGAGCTCGCAGATCGCAGCGCGTGCTTCAGATGCTCCCTGATGCTACAATCTTCATCAAGCCTTCATGCCAGGATGTGGACAACCTGATTTCTATCCTACACAACTTCAGTGGAGCCACCGGACTGAAGGTGAACCTCAGCAAGAGCTCTGTGAATCTAATAGAATGTGATGCAATTAAGCTAGATGAAGTCCTGCACAACTTCACTGGCCCGCGGACAACCTTCCCCATGTAGTATCTTGGAATACCACTCACAATCAGGAGACTCCGGAAGGTCCACCTTCAATACCTCATTGATCAAATCAAGGCACAGTTAGCCACCTGGAAGAAGAAACTACTATCGGCCGGAGGCAGAAGAGAGCTTTGTCATCTCCGTACTCAGCTCTATGCCGATCTACGCCATGATAGCATTGAAAATACCAAAGAAAATAATCCAAGAAATTTACAAAGCTAGAAGAAAATTCCTTTGAAAAGTAAATTGGAAACAGGTCTGCAGGCCGTTAAGATATGGAGGCTTGGGAATTTCAAACCTTCGTAAGATGGGACGGGCGCTCTAATAGCGATGGCTATGGTATGAATGGACCACCACCGACAAACCATGGATTGGCATGCCAAACCCCTGCTATGACCAGGACAAGGAACTCTTTGCAACTTCAACATCGGTGCTCATTGGAGATGGAAAGAAAAGCATCCTTCTAGGAATCCCCGTGGGCATCCTGTACCACACTAAAAGCAATGCCACCAAACCTCTCTACTGCCATGTGAAAAGAAACAAAAAAAGAACAGTTGCCGAGGCATTGGACGGTAACAAGTAGATCGACGACATTAGGCACAACCTGATCACAACCCTCGTGTATGAATTCTTCCAAGTCTTTGAGCTGCTTTGGTCCTTAGACACTACCCTAACTCAGGGCGTGGAGGATAGTATTCGCTGGAAATGGACACCATCAGGAACCTACACCGCTAAATTAGCCTATCAAATGCAGTTCCTAGTAAGCATGCAGTCAGCTTCAACAAATGTAATCTGGAAGTGTTGGGCGCTGTCAAAGTACAAATTCTTCACCTGGCTTCTCCTATAAAACAAAATATGGATGGCGGAGAGGCTACAAGAGAGGGAGTGTCCAAACAATTATTTCTGCCAACTCTACTTCAGAAACCTCGAGATGGCACACCACCTCTTCTACGAATGCTCGGTCACAAGGACAATTTGGGATTCAGTAGCAACAAGACTAGAGGATCCCCGAGCTGCAACCGCTACACTAGCCCCATACAACATCCCTGGAGGACTAGTGGATTCAGACCATCCATGCCATGGCCAAACAAAAAAGGAACTATGCCAAATCAATTCTAATCCTGTTCTCCTGGGAAATTTGGAAAGAGAGGAATAGCAGGGTGTTCCGAAACATAAAAACACCACCGTAGGGAATCATTAACCGGGCAATTGATGAAACATGGCTATGGCACGCAAGTGGAGCGAAGGGCATCCAATCCCTGCCTTCGGACACCCGTGGTAGCACAATCGACAATATGTAAATCAAGACATGCTTTTTACCCTCTCTAGTGGTCGCCACCTCCATCCCCAGGCTTTTCCTTTTTTTTTCTCACTTTTGTAATCTCCTAGTCTTCACGGCTATTGTATAGTATTTCCCTCACCTTTAATACAAATACACACCCCACTGGGGTTTAAAAAAAAAAAGAAGAGAAGTGTCAGAACTACCACCCTTTTTTTCCATGAACTAGGCAAGTTATATACTTCCGAATTAATTATGCATAATATATATGATCCCGTTCTGTACTTAGAAGGTTTCTTAGTATTTGAGAAAAAAGAGTAAATTTCATAAAAAAAACAACTTATTATCCTAGTTATACAAAATTAACAACAGTAATTTTGTTACGTGGCACAAAACTTAATATATTATAGTCCTAAATTAAAGTTTTACAAAACCACACTATTAACCATTTTGACTTTGAGTTACTACATTTTTTAGTTATACAATTACATATCATATTTATTAGTTTATTTACTATCATGTAAATGTTACGTTCACTTTTTAAAATTTTGATATATGAGCATGTTAATGGTGTAGTTTTGTGAAACTTTCAGATAAAAATAGCTAGGGTTATGTGCCACATACAAAAATTCCATATAGTTTTGTGTAACTTGGACCGTAATAGGTTGGGTTCTACAAAATTTAATAAAAAAAACCTTGGTCGCTATTTTATTCAGTGTTAATTTCATTGAATTGTTGAGGCACAACTGAATAAAGGATTCCCAGATTCCCAGTCTTTTCGTTTGGAAGACAATATCGGATTAATTGCATCTATTATTTTGCATCTTTCTCAGTCACTGTACTACAGAACATCTCCTGTAAACCGTTTGAAAAAAAAAATAGTCTATATATTTCAGCATTTCCCTTGTATACAAATGAAAGAATTAATCCTATATGCATGTTAAATAACTTCCTTTGAAGAAAAAGCCTAGAGCAAACGAACTGTCCCGATTGAATTGAAGAATAAACAAATTAATTGTGTGCCTAAAATCCAAGATTATAAATCAGGTTACTAAATGCTAGCCCTAAACTAAATCTTCTCTAGGGCCTGGAGTATGTCGTCCCTGAGATCCTCAAACTTCTCAATCCCAAAACTGAACCTCACAAAATTATCCTTGATCCCATTCTTCGCCTTCTCCTCCTCACTCTTACCCCTGAAAACAATTAACAACCTAAATATTAGCATTAATCAAAACATTATCATCATGCAATTAATTCAGCACTTAGTTACGTACTCCTTTTGCTACTGTTACATGACACGAGCTTAATTAATTACCAGTAGGACATGACGGCCGGTTGCTGCACAAGGCTTTCACATCCACCGAGCGACGTTGCGATGAGAGGCAACTCCAGCGCATCCACGAACCTCATCACGCCGCGCAAGTCCGACGCCACATCGAAGCTGACCACGCCGCCGGCGCCGGCCATCTGCCTCGTCGCGACGCCGTGCCACAGGCTGCTCTCCAGCCCAGGGTAGTAGACGCGCTCGATCTTGGGGTGCTTCTCCAGCAGCCGCGCCATCCGCAGCGCCGTCCTGTTCTGCGCCTCCACCCGCAGCGCAATCGTCTTCAATCCCCGAATGATCATGTACGCCGCGTTCTGAACCGACAAATAAAGTTACAATCAGTTTTGGAATGATATAAAGTGAATTTGTGTAAATTCGTTTTGTTTTCGTTTTTGGTTTGGTTACCGGACTGATGGCGCCGCCGAGGTCGTGGTGCCACGCGCGGATCCGCGAGATGAGGGCCTCCGAGCCGCTGACGCAGCCGGCGATGACGTCGTGGTGGCCGGCGATGTACTTGGTGGCGGAGTGGAGGACCACGTCGGCGCCGAGGGCGAGCGGCTTCTGGTTGATGGGCGATGCCAGCGTGCTGTCGATGCACACCAGCGCGCCTCTCCGGTGGCACAGCTCCGCCACGCGTGTCACGTCGACGACCTTCAGGTGAGGGTTCGTCATCGAGTCGGCGTAGAACATCGTCACCTCGCTCTCATCAAGAACACATTCCAGCGCCTCCATGTCGTCGTCAAGATCGACGAACGTCGACTGCAAATACAAGGGACGAACGCCATTGTTAAGAGACAGATTGCAAGCAATGCCATGCTCTGATGAATGAAGCTGCCATTAATGGTGTTTACATACCGTGATGCCCATGTTGGAGAGCTTGTCGCGGATGAATGCGCGGGCCTCGCTGTAGCAGTCGGCGGTGGCGACGACGTGGCCGCCGGGAGGGACGAGGGCGAGCAGCGTGGCGACGATGGCGTTCATACCGGAGGAGGTCACCAGCGTCGCCTCCGCCCTCTCCAGCGCGCTGATCTTCTCCTCCAGCACCTTCACCGTCGGGTTGCCGTACCGCCCGTACTCGAAGCTCCGCCGCCGGCCTTCCCGGAACGCGATGAGGTCCGCCGAGTCCCTGAACCAGTGCGTCGTGCCGCTCACGATCGGCGTCGCGATCGAGTCCGTCTCAGCGGCGCCGCTCCCGAGCTTCTCCCCGGCGTGCACCGCCAGCGTCTCGTCCGACGCGCGTCGGCCCGCCGCCGCCGCCGGAGCGTCATCCACGGCGCCGTCGACGTAGCGGTCGTCCATGTCCGGCACCACCGGATACTCCGGCGACGAGGGACAACCCGCGAGGGAACCGAACATGTCGGCGGCTGCATCAACGCCGGCGAGAAGAATCTTCTCGTGGCTCAGCGCCACGGCGGCGGCAGAGCGCTCCGGCTTGGTCGGAGAACGGCGAGGACGGTGCACTCGCCGCCGCCGCTGCGCCGAAACCTTCGTCACGAGGGACGATGACTTCGCCATTAGCACAAGTACGCTACTAACCAAAGGGATTAAGACAAGTGATTAGTGTTTTTCAAGACCAAATGGTGGAGATTAGCGTCGAACAAGTAGCTTAATCCCAAGTGATTAGCGGCGAGCTTAATTAGCTAGTCACCGAAACAAAACAACTAATCGCTTGCTTTCTCGCTAATGATCTGAGTGGCCATTGAACTCGCGATGCACCTATTTATACACACAAGCAGAGGGTGCAAACTGCAAAGTTCTACGCTCCCTCGAAGTCATATTTAATTTCTACAATTTCTACATGTGATTTCAAACGAATTCTACGTGTGGCTCACATGCGTCAAAGCCACACAAGCGTGTACTAACAATTAATCCAACCAGCGATTACTGATCATTAGGCTATATGTGCGGGAGTAATTAATCAGCCACGCGACGTGTTTAGCCGCGGTTCCTGTGATTAATTAAGTGACAAGAGTGATTTAGTTTAAGCGAGGCTCTGGATTAATATAAGGTGGGATCAAGGAAGACGATGTGGAATTAAACAGAGTCAACATGGGAAGGAGCAGGTAGTAGCTAAGCTCGAGACTGGTCATCTGAGGTTGTTGTTTACAATTAAGGACTTCAGTTGCATTATCCTAGATTGGCTCAGTGCTAATCGAATTTTGGTTACTCGTTATAGATTACTGCAAGTGTCGCTTAGTTAATTTGGGGAGCTTTTAAGTACGCTGGATGGAAATGAAGATCTAATTAAATGACTAAATATGGCACATGCATGTGGGGCTTGTTTGGTGACAAGTCTTTTGGTCGTCAGGTGGCATATATACTGCTGCCATTGCCTGATGTCAGTGATCATTGTCTTTATGCAACAGAAGGTGTTGGGAAGATGACCTGAAACAACCTGAGTTTGTTGGAGGCCTTTTAATTTATGCTAGCTCTATAGGGTTTTTGGCAAAAATTTCTCTTCAGGGCTGAGGAATAGCATCGACTATGCTACGTAGAGTTTATATGGACAGAAAAAGAAAAGAAAAGCAATGACCGCCTGAGAGCATTCACGTCAGACTCGAATCCAGCGGCTGCCGTCACCAACTGACCAACATAGTGCAGCGATCGTTAGGCCATGGCCACCGCTCCACGCTAGAGCGTGGTCTCACCCCTCCTGAGAGGAATATTCGCGCCAGCTCGGTCAGGACCGCACCCCCGTAGTTTCGTCAGCTTTTGGTGAGGAACGGGCGAGGAGCTGTGTTAGGGAGATGCCTCACCCCGAGTCATTGCCCTGTGCTGGTGCTGCTCCCGCGCCGGGGAAGAAGATGGAGAGGGTTTGGACTGGAGAGAAGGGCCTACCAGGGAAGCTCCGCCGGCAACCGACGACCCGATCTGCCACCCCGAGTGCCGCCGCATCGATCCCTACCGCCGCCACGTTGATCCCCACCTTCAGCGGCTCCATCTGCCGTTGTCGTGTTGATCCCCACAGTCGCTGCGTCGATCCACGTTGTCACTGCATCGATCCACCACCGCCGCATCGATCCCCACCTCCGGCGCCTCCATCCGCCGTCGCCACGTCAATCCGCCGCCGTCGCGTCAATCCACGCCTTACTGCTGCATCGATCCCCTCCTCCGGCGCCTCCATCCACCGTCGTCGCGTCGATTGGGGAGGGAGAGTGGAGCTCAAGCGGAGAGAGAGAGAGAGGTGGAAGAAGAGGGAAGGGGTGGGCCTTTATATATGTTTATGATTTTTAGGGGGCATACAGCAAATATTAGACTTATATGCAAATAAAAATAATCTAAGGGTTTAAATACAAAATGTGACCGACTGTACTGAATTGCAGAATTAAGATGGATGTATGACTTACACTGTGTGAGGAATATCTCAAGTGTGGTTTCATCCCACTTGGCATCAACTTTTTTGTGGGGCAATACCTTCCGTTGGCCTGGCCTTAGAGCTCAGAAGCTCTCGCCAAGCTTCTAGCGAAATAGAGATTTGCTCTGGTCCAACAAAATGTACCTTGAGGTACCGGTACCTCACGGTACCAAATCGTTTCCGATCGTTGGATCTAGTTGGATAGGATGGGCATTGTTCGATTCAACAATCGGAAATTATTTGGTATTGTAAGGTACAGGTACCTCGAGGTACTTTTTATTGGACCAGAGCAAATCTCAGCGAAATAACACCTCCCCACGGTTCTCCTTCCTGGCCCCTCTTCTTCCCTTACACCGATGGAGGGCCGTCGGAGACGGAAGGGAGGTGGGGGGGGGGTTGTCGAATCCTTCTTCCTTTTAGGCCTAGTAGCTTTGTCTTGTAGGTCAGGTTTTTCCTATTCGTCGGGCTTTCCTGTGGTTAATTACTCCCTATGTCCGTAGATCTTCTCATCTTGGTGCCATGGTAGACAGAGATTAGCTCTGGTCTAACAAAAAAACCTCAATGTACTGGTATCTCATGGTGTAAATCGTTTCCCATCGTTGGATCTAACAATGTCCATCCTGCCCCGCTAGATTCAATGACCGGAAACGATTTGGTACCGTGAGGTACCGGTACCTTGAATTACTTTTTGCTGTACCGGAGCAAATCTCTATTATTTAACTTTTGAATTAAAGTCATATCGAAAGAGATATAGTTAGATTTGTCCTAGAAAATAATTCAGATATATTATAAGTTTGCTAATAATTGTTTTTATAGAAGTAATTCGTAATTTGATCATATTATTATTATCTAAAATGACACTTATTTGTGATAGGAACCAAGGGAGCTCTTTATTTTAAGGCAAATTTTGCTATAGGACACTGCTTATGTATGGTTTTAGCCCTAGGACACTGCCCAAACTCACTTTTGGGGGAAAACACTCCATAAACATGGTAATTTGCCAGTGGACACCGTGCCGATTAAAATAATACTTTCTAGTTGAAGAGGAGAGAGAAATCACGTAAAATGTCAAAAATGCCCTTGGTCCTACATATAGCTCTATCTCCTATCTCTCTTCTCACCTCTTCTCATATGCCCCCATGCCCTCGCCGCCATCGTTGCCACATAGCGCGGCGGAGCCGGGACGAAGCCGTAGTTGCCCACGGTGGCGCACGCGCCGGGCATGGTGTCGTTGAAGATGAGGTGCCTCCCTTGGAACCTCTCGTTGCCCCAGCACACGACGGAGAAGTTGGTGGTGACGACGTCGCAGACAGTGTCACCGTCGGCCACGATGGACACGAACGACGCGCGCCTGTACTCCTCGGGCACCCGCACGCCCCAGCACCGCACCATGTCATCGCCGTCGAGGATGCACGTGGTGTTGTGGCCCAGCGCCATGGACTTCATGTCCGAGTATCTTCGCCCCAGCATGACATGCCGCCTGTTAGGAATAAACGCGTTGTCATGGCCGTGCCTGCGTTTTGCCGCGGCGCGGCAGTGGCGCATGGCGTCGTGAGTCCAGGAGTCGTGCGTGTGTGCTGCATTGTGGTGGTGCTGTACACGTTGTGTGTGTGTGTTCGATGTATGTGAGTCCAGAGGCCAAGTCCTGGCGGTTGAGCGCATGCAGGAGCACGCCATGCGAGAATAATGGAGGCCCGTTCATGTGGAGGAGTATGTGGCTCACGAACGCGTGAAACCAGGTCGTCCAGGCTGCCATGCGTACGTGCGCGTGAAGCTCGCTAAGTGGGTGCGTGGGCGCTGCGTCGCCGTGGGTATAAAACTGGCTGTGTAGGCTCGTATTTAGTGAGTGCCGTGTGAACTTTCAGTGAGTAATAAAGCCAAGATACAGGAGCGATAGGCTCCGCGGCGTTCGTCGCCGAAACTCCACTGTTCATCTTCAACCTCCAGCCATTTTTGTGTGTGAGAGAAAGAGAGCTCTGTTCTTGTGTTCCTAGGCTGATTCCAACAATTGGTATCAGAGCCGGATGACGAAGATCGGAGATAGCTCGCCACCGAAGATCGGAGAAGGCTCGAGCTCGGGTGCCGCCGAGCGCGTCATGGCCAACTCCAGCGTCGTGGAGCTCCCGCTATTGACAAGGACCAACTACCACGAGTGGTCTTTGGTGATGCAGGTGAGCTTGGAGGCGTTGGAGCAGTGGGACGCGGTGGAGGCGGTGAGCAAGGACCGGGGCAAGGATCGGCGCGCGCTGGCCACGATCATCCGCGCCGTTCCAAGGGAGATGAAGGCCGGGCTCGCCGTGAAGAAGTCGGCGAAGGAGGCGTGGGACGTAGTGAAGAAGATGCACGCTGGCGACGACCGCGTGAAGGCTACGAGTGTCCAACGTCTCATGAAGCAGTTCGAGAACATGGCGTTCCGTGACGGAGAGAACGTCGGCGACTTCGCAATGCGCATCAACGGGCTCGTCGCCAGCCTGCGCGAGCTTGGTGAGGAGATGGAGGACAGTCGCGTCGTGAAGAAAGTTCTGCGCGTGGTCCCCAAGAGGCTGAAGCAAGTCGCGGTGGCGATTGAGATGCTCGCCGACATCGACACCATGGAGATCGAGGAGCTCGTCGGCCGGTTGCAGGTGGCAGAGGACGCGGACGCTGAGGATCAAGCGGCGTCTAGCGCGGAGCACGCTGGGCAACTCCTGCTCACGGAGGAGCAATGGGAGGCGAGGCGGCGTCAACGCCGTGGCAAGGAACATGCCCACGGCGGCGTTGGCGAGAAGGGCGGCGGCCACGACGACGACGACGACGATGGCAGTAGCACAAGCTCGGGGCGCGGTAAGAAACGCTACCGAGGCAAGTGCTTCGACTGCGGCGTGCGCGGTCACATGGCGCGGGACTGCCCGAAGAAGAAGAAGGAGAGAGCGCTGCTCGTCGACGTCGACGACGAGCCGACACTGCTGTGAAGACCGAGTTCACCATGTCACGTTTAGGGGGAGATAGGTCGAGTCTATGGTGTCGTGTGGTGTCGCGTTTAGGGGGAGATTGTTAGGAATAAACGCGTTGTCATGGCCGTGCCTGCGTTTTGCCACGGCGCGGCAGTGGCGCATGGCGTCGTGAGTCCAGGAGTCGTGCGTGTGTGCTGCATTGTGGTGGTGCTGTACACGTTGTGTGTGTGTGTTCGATGTATGTGAGTCCAGAGGCCAAGTCCTGGCGGTTGAGCGCATGCAGGAGCACGCCATGCGAGAAGGATGGAGGCCCGTTCATGTGGAGGAGTATGTGGCTCACGAACGCGTGAAACCAGGTCGTCCAGGCTGCCATGCGTACGTGCGCGTGAAGCTCGCTAAGTGGGTGCGTGGGCGCTGCGTCGCCGTGGGTATAAAACT